AACGAAAGGCTCATCTTGGTATGTATTGAGAAAAAGTTCAAATTTTGAAAGTTTGGGGACGGAATTTTCAAAAACAAAAATGTTTGCTTTGATTCTGTCTATGACCTCTTATCCATGACATATCGCACCCTATCACGTGGAACTATGTTCGGCTTCTGTAAAAGTAGAATGCTGACTTAAAAACTCGTGTACTACAAAAATTAGCTCCGAGTAATGAGGGAGCCAATTTGGTCACGTCTTCGAAGAAATTTTCATGGAGGCTCCCCTCTCCATATTTTAGAAATGCGTTTGGCATTGTGTAAACTAAGCACCATAAGCCATATAGTCAAAACCTGCTATAGCTTATGAACTAACACTGTTGAGAAAAAGCAAGAACTCAAGTGCTCCCCACAAAGTAAATTTTTGGATTTTTTCGTATTTCTGTTCGTTTCTCCTCATTTTTTCGATTTTTGTTAAATTTTGCACCAATGATTAATTCTCTTAATTTTTGCGTAATTTGACCAAAAAAAACCTATTACAATCTTGGTCGCATTAAATTACTTTAATCCATGTATTGGCATTGTTTTAGGTTATCGTTTTTCCCAAGACGTCATTATCACTAATGCTACCGTGCTATCTATTCATTGTATGACCTGCAGATTACTTTTATATTGTGGTATTAAGTTAATTAGCCTCAATACACTTCAAGGATATAAAATAATAAATTCGTCAAAGAATGGGGAGAGCTGGAGGTTCCTCGTATAATGCAGATTTTGCGTTAATTGAATTAATTTTTCTGCTCTACACGTTAATGGTTTTTAATAAAATTCGCTCGCATTAATCGTGAATAATATTCACACGTGGCTGCCCAAATGAAAGTGATATATACAATAGACGCATCTTTAAGCCGGATGCAAGAGAAATTTGGTTTTCCCATTTGTTTTTTCCAGCCATTATTTAATTTATTAACCTAAATTAGTGCCATATTAGTTCTTCGAAATCATCATCATTAAGATTTTTTTTACACATGTTCGGTAATTTTCTGAGAGTACATGCAGTCACTCAAATGTTAGTTAAAAGCGTTGTATTTATCGGAATTCCAATTCGGTCGAGGTGACATATGCGATTGTCACAAGGTTAGGAATATATATTTTGGAAAACATTTCCAGCAAGGATTTTAAAATTTTCTAAATTTTTCAGAATTTATGAGCTTATTTTAGTTCCTTTCGAATTTTTTTTACGTCTAATTTTGCCTTGCCGTTCCTCGTAAGTAATTGAATTATTGGATGTTTTGGTGACGCTATACTTTATTCCATGGAATTTTCGTATGACCATCTTAGGATCTCTTTAAAATTTTCTTGTTATCTTAGAACCCCATGTTAAAATATTTTTGAAACTATGGGAATGTTTAGAATCTTTCTGGAAATAAGCAGATAAGGGTCTCCTTTGAGTTTTCTGAGTCTCCCTAGATTCCTCTAGTTTCCCTACAATCTTCTTAGGACGTTATGATCGTCTTGGAATCTTTTAAAAACACTCTTGAAACGTTCTTAGAATCCTTTTTTAGCACTTTTTAGGTTTTGTTAAACTCCAAGTCTAAGCTTTTAATAATCCTCAGGATTTTCATAGATAGAATCTTCTGAAAACTTTACTATTATCTTGGAATTGTCTTAGACTCTTTTTAGAATTTTTGTAGAATCTTTCAAAAATTTTTTTAAATTTTCTTAGAATCTCCCAAACATTTTTTTATCATCTTGCAATTTTCTTAGAACCCTTAAAATAGTCTGACTTTTTTTATAATTTTTTTTCTACATAGAATTTTCAGAATTATCTGCAATCTTTTTCGAATCTTGGTTAAAATTAAAAAAAAACTTATCTCCTTAAATAAGAAAGTTGACATTTCGCAAATTGCGTATGCGCACATTGTTACAATATACAATATGCGTGTCTTTACTAGAAGCATCTGTGGTTAAAATGTCAAAAAGATATCTCCATAAATAAGAAAGATGACATTGCGCATGCACGCATTAATCGTCAAGATTTTTCTTGGTTGAGGTGCCAGAGCTATAAGCGATCGAATCCAAAAAAAAAAACAATAAATATCTTGAAAAATGTAGGAGTAGTTAAGGCCTCGGGCGGATACAGGGTGTTGCATTTACAAAATACCAAACTGTGGTCCAAAAAATTTTTTTACTACGCCACTGGATTATACGTCTAAAAAAACAGTTTTTATTTTTTTCTCAGCCAAAATAGGACACACTGTACATTATCTGTACAATTTTGGATTTTGAAAATATATGTTGATAAATGTCATTGAGATTCCAAAAGCGCTTGGGGAAACTTTATCCCCCCCCCCCTCATGTTTAGTCTCGGTCGGTATCGATTCAAATGTAACAACTTTATTATTTTATTTCTAGATCTCAGCACTCAGAACACGTAGGAACTGGTTTTTATTTCATAATTGGCAGTACAAGAAATTTTAAAAAAATTACAAAAACGACTTGTCTTAAGGAGATCTCCCCCCTTTCTTCATGAATTATTTCCCGAGATGCTGTTTCTGAAAGTAAAATGTTCACCATTTTGCCTCCGACTTTGCATACGCATGCCCCTAGTGGTGCCAATGAAGAGGGGTGGGGGGGAGGGGGTCAACACACGAAAGGTATCGAATGGAATTGGTTTCTACAAACCATAACTTTCCTCCGCAAGATCCTTCACTGGGGGAATTTTACCTTTCTTGGTATTCTAATTAGATGTTTCAACGAAAGGAGCTGTTTTCTACGAACTACCGCCTTTCTTCCTTCCCTTCTATCAAAATGGAGGGGGAGGGGGTTATCCTTCATGATAATCTAATAAAAGGTTTCAACGGAAGGAATTCATTTCATTTCTACCAACCACAATCTTCCTTCTCGATCCCTTATCGTGATAATAATAATTTATTTTCATCAAGTAAATGATCGGTTATAATTCCTCATATCTTAAGAGCGGAGTGTCAGAGGAGGTACTCACAAATAGCGATTGGGCCGTCTGGAAATGGAAATATATCCATCGGTGATATTAAAACTTTAAGAGCGAATATCTCGAAAACGGTGTATCGGAAGAGGGTGTCCCATTTTTATGGTATAAATAAGTAACTGATTTTTTTTAAATAGAACACCCTGTATATTTTTAGTTGTTTCAATATCATTTGCCGATGTTGCCAATTTATTTACTTTTTCCCGAATAATTCCCCATGAGCAAGGCTTACTTTGACGAATCGTAGCGACCTTGTTTTTCGAACTTTTGCGTTCTCTTGCAATGTCCTGTGTCTAAACCCCGTAGTTATTAGGTTTTTCCATTGAATAAAAACACTATTATTCAATGGTTTTTCAATATTCTTCAGAAAAGCACCTACCCACTAATTAATTACATGTTTATACAGTATTAGGCCGTGATAATAACGAGATAGGACGAATCGCATACGATTTTCAGTAAGGGAATTTTTGAACTCGGCACAGTGTTCTCACATTCAATAGTGCTCGTCTTTGCACTCGTAGAAATCTATTGGCGTTTAAGAATCGAAAATATACAAGGTGTTCTATCTAAAAAATCAGTTATTTTACACTGTGAAAAACATCTTCAGTTCGGGCTGGTTGGAAATTTGGAAAATTTTAGTCAATCTGCAAAGGGTGGTCTTTTTCTTCTACGTGGTGTAATTGCAGGGAGAAATATTATAAACGATGGATTGTTGGAGATTTCAAACAGAAAGTTGTGTTGAACATTTACAGACGGAAAACATTTTACTCTTTAAAAGTTGCTTAAAATAACCCAAAACGTCAACATTTGATGAAATTAACATGTCCAAGAAATGGTGATCGCATTTGCCATCTAGCTCAAGCTGGAAAGCTAAAAATTGGGCGGAAAAGAATAAATTTTTTTGAGTACACCTCCGATTTACGTGTTTAATCTTTTTTTCTAAAAACTTGGTGGGAGTGCACATTTTTTTCTTTTTTTGAATTTTTTCTCCAATTGATTTCTTTACACTTTTAAAGGGTAAAACACCAAAGTTGTGCCCCAGAGCTTGTTTAAAATTCTTTTGAACGTATAACAAAGTTAGCAAGAAAAAAACCCATTTTTCTAGGTAGCCTGAGTGTCGTCCAAAAACGGACGGACGGAACTTACACTATTAGTAGCAGTTTTTTTCTCGAAAGAATTGGCACTCCAAATTTCATAACGATCACACCTAAGTGCAAACGTATGAAATCGCCAAAGCTCTAATTAGTACCTAATCTGTATAATTTCTATAATGCCCCCCTTTATGGTCTGAAGGAATACCTAATGTTTTCTTAATAACCCAGAAAAACTATTAAATACCTTTGATACAAATAAATTGTTTACTATATTACATTAAGGTGCTTGTGTTAAATGAACTACAAACTCTATTATCACGCAAGTGTTGATAGGCACCCTGTAAATACTTTACGATTACTCAATGCGTTAATTACTACTAAAAAGTGAGTTCACATGTCCAGTGCTAAATTCACAGGATCGCAGTAACGTATGCATTTTTTTTACATTTTAATCGCCAACTCAAAACAGGTTAATTCAAAATTTTAAATTCAAAAATACTTATCATCATTACTGGGTAACAATATACAGGGTATTTCATAAAGAAAGCGAATATCTTCACATTCCCAAAAAAAATTAGACAATGTTGTACCTCGAAAATAAATAATTGTTTCTCAAATGCAAATACAAGGCGTACATGATATCTTTGTCTATATTTGGGAAAACATACAAATGATAATTAAGTAGTACTTAACCAGGTAGGGGTTTTCGATCTGTTAGTACATGATCAGCGGAGCATATAGTCTTATAATTATAATATTTAATGAACACTTCTTATCTCCAACATTTATTCTAAGGTTAATTTGTGTTTGTCTCTGTACAACATTTGTTATGCTCTCGCCACTTGTGCCGGAAGCTTCATTTACAGTTTCTTTACACTGTAAGCAAGTCAAATACTGACGCATATTTTTTTGTTACAGATTACTCTTTCAACAAAAGGAGTAGATTTTTGATTAATTCGTATCATCTAGTCATAGGTAAGTGCGTCACGATTTAATTTACGTGTTACTCCAATTTTATAATTCCAGTTGGGCTCTAACATTTGCGAAAAAATGGCAACACAGTTGTTTTACAGTTACGGAGAATTTTGTGCCAGCCACCCTTGGGAAATCATCATGGCCATGCTTACCTTGACGACTTGCATGCTAACAGTTGAACATCAGTACCCTTCGCCCCCACCGAAACCTCCTCTTCGCGATTGTGCTGGTTGTCTACAGGAGGTACTGAACGGATATTCGATTTGCCTACTAAACCTTAATTTTCTAGGCGGAATACAATGCGGCAGATGTGATTGTGATGACACTAATCCGATGTCTGGCAGTGCTCTACAGCTACTATCAGTTCCGAAATTTACATAAAATGGGATCGAAGTATATTTTGGGTATGTCTCAGTGTTTCTCAATTTTATACAAACATGGTTTATTAGCCGAAATAACGTGACAAATTTCTCACGGTTTATATGCTTTGATTACCTACTATCACCCAAATGTTTCCACTTGCATCATTTCTCAAATTTATATTAGGCATTGGCTTTGCCATATCTAATTTTCTGTTTAAGTTGATAGTAGCTTCATTGAAAATAAATTTGTATAAGAGAATGGTTTCAATGAGATTTCAAATCACGTCTCTAAAAACCGAACAATACGAACAAAAGTTCTTAAAATATAACATGACGTACTTGCATACGTAAAAAACAAATGAATGTAGATCATTCAAGGAGACAATGTTTATTGATGCGCATATCGAATCTGTATTGTTATAATAAATTATTCCTCCCACTTTTGGGCATCGCACAGTGGCCCCTCGCCTCCTCTCCCACAAGTTGATTTTTGTAGACTATTTGGTGAATATTTCAGTGAAATATTCTCTTACATAAGTTGACCGTGTGTGCGGACTTGGCGTCTTAAGAGTCATCAGGAGATGCTACAGTAGGCGGAGCTAAAAAACATGAACATGAACGTACTGTCATCATCTCGTTTTAATTTAATATGGATATACTATTCAATAAGGGACTTATTTAGACTTCTCGATTTCTTTCTTTTATACTACCTACATAGGTCTCTACTATCATAGCAAATCTCCATTAATGGATAAGGTGGTCCCAGTGTGTACTGTGTAGTGGCGGCAAGTTCAAGAGGATCTCCATAGCTGCGGTAGAGGTCGTTATCATTGACCCCGTAATTCGGTTTTGGTACGAATAGTACTTTTACGTCTCCCCACGCCATAGGTATTGTATCCTAGAGCAAAACTTGCCCTTAGTAACGTAGTACATAGTGTAGGGGCTAGCAGATCGAGACCTTTTTGTCATAACTTTGGTTAGGTTCACTATCTGTTGAGCCAAATTCCAATCTCCTCTCTTCCCTCTGAAAAGTGGTTCCAGAGTAATTGGTTTGCCCTCGTTATTTTGAACGAGAGTCTTTGATCTCGGCAGCAAAAACTCCAAGGTTTTCTTTGCGATCTCTGTATAACCCCAATTTTCTTCAAGGAACCGATTCTACTCTCTGTTTTTGAAAGAAAAAAATTACCCTTATGTGACCCAGCTAGCAATTGAGGTGTCATTCGACGTCGATTCGACTTCAATTAAGTAACGACACCAATTTCAATAAGTGCAGTATAACATAAATTCGACGTCGAATCGACTTAAGTGGTGTTTTTTGACACGTCAATTCGATGTGAGAAATAACTTGAATAGGTGTGATTTAACTAATAGGTGTTAGAGACACCTTATTAGGTAATTTTCTACGTCAAATCGACGTGGCGGATTACTTATTTTCTACATGTCGTTTTGAGCTTATAACCATACTTCATAAGAATAATAAGAATACTGTTATGAACTTTATGGCTGACGTCATGTCAGAAAAATTACCTATTATATGTAAAATATTCAATATGTTTAATTTCACGATTTCTATGTAGAAATATTTCGTGCGAATGCATCTTCTGCCTTCAAAAAACACAAAGCCTCTCTGAAATAACTATTATAAAAATAATAAAAAAATAATTATTGGTTTTTCATTTTTATAGTTGTACATTTTTGGCAGTTTAAGTATTTTATTCAAACATTCAATCATTCATAATACCTAAATAGAATTAGATTTTAATTGTATAACGCATATTTATTCATTAATGCTAAAAAACATGTATGATGATATTTCGGCCGTCTACGCTAGCCAATAAATATGTCTGCCTTCTCGTTATGTTAATCTAATAAGTAGAATACCCTAATTTGCACCTATATTTTCGACCTCATGTTTCAAGTTGGTGAAGAACAAGCTACTTTTGATACCTATTACCTAATTGGTGTACAATATTACCAATTTTTATACACTAATTGTAACAAATTCATGTAAATACCAGTATTATATACTTATTGGTGGTCTGTTTAAGTATACCTAATATGTGTAATCGCAACTAAGTATGTTGGGAATTCGACCTAACTAACTAAACCACCCTATTAAGTGTAAATCCAAAACCAAACCTACGTTCACTAAATCGACACCTATTAGGAGCTCCTCCCAAAAAAATCCCGGCAAATTTAAATGAACATTTTTAATTGGCCGAATTTTCAAAACCTGTAACACACGCAACTATTTGCTTCCCAATTATAATTGCCGCATCTGAATTGACATCCTTAACCTCAAACCTGTCACTGCGTTTTGTATTTGTCTTGCCTCAATTTGCCGTTAATTTCATTTATACGAACAAAATAATCTTTCTGAACTTAATAAACAATTTGAAACTATGTACTGCTGTGTGTTCAAAGATCAATATTCAAAACATAACACTTTATAACTTCGCCGTACAATGTGACATGCGATTTTAAATTTCCCGGTTTTTATAATTTTGTGACTGTGAAACGGGTCTGTAAGGGAGGTATGTTGATCCAAGCAGAAGCCCCCTCTCGCTCCCATCCCTTTCCACTGTCAGCTTTACTGCCACCAGGTCTTTGCAACAGAATTCACATAGTGGTAGTTAACTTAACCCTATTCCTAGCTAAGATGCACGGTCTGAAATTGACTTCGTTTGGCTCAGTAATGAACTGCGCTTCTTTCAGTACCAGCCCTCCTCGTATTAGGCCTTGGTAGTTCCAAGGTTCCTGTACCAGGGCTACATCAATATGATGTTTGCTTTTGTATTTACAGAGGGCGACAGATACCGCCCTACTGTGGTGCAGATTAATTTCCACTTCATGCTTATCTATGTCCTCTCCCTTCATCTTCGTCTTGGAGAGGAGTTTGAACGTCAATCCTGGTGAAGTTCACATAGGGTCAATGGTTAACAAGTGGCCCCCATCTTGTCCGCGGAAGTTTGGTCCCCCTGGTAAAGTTCACGTAGGGTCGATGGTTGCAAGTGGCTCCCATCTTGTCCCGAAAAGTTTGGTCCATAAAGATAATCAAAGTTTGTCACTTGGGGCCCTCATTCCTGTCTACCAGACACCAATTGCTGATTGTAACTCAAGCATTGTGGATCTTTTCAGGATCTTCTCCGGTTCTACTTGACCCCCTGGAATCTAGGTTTTTCACTTTGACGAATCGAAGTTTTGCCCCTTCTCACGGAGCTACCTCGCTAGCTCCGACTTCAACCAGTCCACGATACCTGGTTTGGCATGTAATCAACAGGGCTCCCCCTCGGTGATGACACTGTGAATTTGGGCAAAACCGCTACAATGTCAAGGATCTAGGCTTTGATTCGCCCCGTCCTTCCAGGTCTTCATGGGACAAAAGTCATTCTGAAGCCTGGAGCTACTTCGCTAAGAGTTCTTTTTTGAGCTACTTTCCCTTGGGAGTGCTTCCATCAGACCGGTGTCGCTTTTGCGACTCAGCCGTGGTAGGTGCGTTACCTAGTTGCTTAGAGCTCCCAGATTGCGCCACCGATCGATTTTGTTTTCGGATTGCACATATTTTGTCACAAAATGTATATAAAGTATAACAGGATGCCATATTTGAAATCTCCATTAAAAAGTGTCCGAATAATGTGCTAATTAGAAATGTCTACTACGACTATAGTAGTTTATCATAAAAAAATTAAAAAAATTTCTGATTTTCGTTTTTTTGTGATATCTTCAAAAGTATTGAAGATATTTCAAATTCTTTTCAAATTCTTATTCAGCACGAAAATTTGCAACTTTGCCCCCATTTAACCAACTTTCTATCTCTTAAGATAAGTGAGATCCCCATAATGGCACTCGAAAAATGGACACAGTGTATTTGTATTTCACCGGATCCTAGGAAAACTCAAAATATGTCAATTCAAGATCCACACTATACCAGGGCGTTCCTCATCTGTTGTGTTACACATAAAAGACCTACATCAACTTGCTCAATGTTCCATTTTCGAAGATTTACTTTTGCGCGATACCATCCCCCGTATAACACAACAGGCACCGCGCCTCCTGACAGCACACGGCACGCTAGATTTCATAAGTTTGCTAAATACTATAGCACGAATTTTTCCATTTTTTTGTGTATCAACCATTATGCATATTTTATGTTGTTGTACAGTAAATTGCAAAGATCTTTAATAAACATAGAATTGCATTTGAAAAACAAAAGTTGCCTCCAATTCCGGTTTAACTGGAAGTGATCCCCGAAGTTTCAATATGCGAAACTTCTTTGTCCCCTCTTCCCTCATAATGGTTAGGTTGGGAGAGGCTTCTCCTATCTTCTGTAGGTCCGCTGCGACGACTCAAGAATCTTTTTTGGGACGAGAATCACATCCTACCCTTCCATGCTCCCTGTTCCTGTTTTGAAGGCGGGTACAAAAATCTGTGCCACAAACTCCTGAGACTTTTCTCTTTGCTGCCCTAGCTGATGTCTATACTCCTGGACCCTGCTTTTGTAAGAACATAACCTTGGCCTAAAGAACTTATTTATTGTGTAGAATAATCGTGGAAATACAAACTAAACGACTAAAAAAGAGAGCGTAGGGCGTCTATGAAATGGATAGCACTCAAAGCAACATATTCTCGTAATGCTGAATGATTGAACTAACGAATTTCGGTAAAGTAACTTCGAATTTGTTATTTTCATATTCAAAGATCCCATTCTCTGTTGGAAGTTATGCGCCTGCGCGAATCCAAACACCATTTTAACAAAAGTTCTGTTTTACGTTGTAAAACCTAATAAGTAATAATAAAAAAAATAGCAGCGTTCTATGTGCTCTTGGTGCAAATAATAATAATTAATGTCATTGACATTGTTTAATTTTGCCCTTTAAATTTCTCTTTTATTTTCAGGTATTGCGGGACTATTCACTGTGTTCTCCAGCTTTATTTTTACTTCGACAGTTATTAACTTTTTGAAAATCGAAGTCTCAGACCTAAAGTGCGTAGTAAAAAATGTAAGGCTTCGTATACTAAACGTCTTCCTTTCAGAGATACTGTGTTCTTCTTCTTACTTTTAATAGACTTATCAAAAGCTGGGAAATTGGCGCAGTTTGCACTAAGAGGTTCCAAACAGGAGGTTAAAAGTAATATTGCGACGGGCATGTCCTTACTGGGACCGTTGATGACTTTAGATACAATTGTGGAAACGCTGGTTATCGGGGTTGGGACTTTGTCTGGTAAGATTTATGCTGCGTGGGTGTATAAATATTTTTGTTTGCTTTCGTAGGTGTACACAGGCTCGAGGCACTGTCGTACATTGCGCTGTTATCGGTTATTGTAAACTACATCATATTTATGACTTTCTATCCGGCTTGTTTGTCATTAATATTAGAGGTAAAAATGAATATACCTACTTCAAAAGGGTTATTGAATGTTTTATTCAATATAGTTGTCCCGCATGACCAATACATGTGGTGGAAGAAATGTGAATCTCATCGCGGCAACTCTCACAGAATCACACAAATCCAACCCTGTAGTGCAAAGAGTCAAATTAATTATGTCCGGAGGACTTTTGTTGGTGCATTTACACAGGTAGTGATTCTTATGCTCGGAGTAGAAGTAAAATGCATCGATTGTTTTCAGTCATTTATCCTTTAAAGATTATGGAATTGAGGTCATAGGGTCTCAGAGAGTGCCAGGAATTCTTTTGAATCACACAGAAGATGATCCCATACGAAATTACGTTCTCAAGTAAGTGCGACTATCATAATGTAGTTCGATAGTTTAACGTGCCAATTGTAGGTGGGTGGCATTAAGTACCGACCACATAATCATCCTAACCTTATTGTTAGCGTTAATTGCCAAATTTGTGCTCTTTGAAAACAAAGAAGAAATGGATAAGGAGAGCTACAGAGCCCTAGAAGCTCTATCACCTGCAGTGCCATCGTTACATAACACCAATTTACACCAAATTCCACCACCACCTGTCGTTAGGCAAGATTCTGAACGTGTCTTTTCTTTAATTAGTCAAGATTCAGATGATGGTAAGTATAACTTAAATTTTCACATGTCTTGGAGTTGAAAGGAGGAGTAAATCTCTTGTGGAAAACTTTTTAATATTTATTTCGTTGACCGCCCTTTATGTGAAAATACTTTTTGAGGTCACCGATCACAAATCTAACAAGCATTACTATTATATATACTACACCCTACTTTAACTTAACCTACCTAAAAGGATATTAATGTAATTGCCCTTTTAGTATAGCTTGCCACTAAATACCAGATCATACAAATTTTATCTGTCAAATCAAAGGTTTAACAGGAACAGTCAAACAAAGATACCTTTGAACTTTCCCCTTTTTGTTACCAAAATAAACGCTTTTGAAAAAACTTTGAAAATAACTAAGATATCACTAAAAAACTGAAAATGTCAAATTTTGTCAATCCAATATGGCGTCCATAAGAAATAAGAAAGTAGTAATCTGTAACTTCTACATCTAGCGTGCTATGGACATTCTGATAATAGATTCAGATTCTCAGAAAAATAGTTAAACGGAATGGGAACCATTTCCAACCGTTTAAGCTAGAAAAAACGAAAACGGAATTTGACATTTTCAGTTTTTCGGTGATATTTCAGTTGTTTTAAAAATTTCAAGTGTTTTTTTTACCCACAAAAAACTTTACCCCCAAATTTAACCTACATTGTATCTCTCACCGTTAAGGAGACCACCCCAATGGTGATCCACGAATTTGAACCACTCTGTACATTTGGCCAAATTACAAGATTATGTGTATCTCTGCAGATGAGAAAACTTATGAAGATAAAGGAGTTCAAACCACTCCGATTTCATCCGAAAAACAAGAAAGGGTAAGATTTGCAGTTCGTAAGCCGATACGCAGCGTGGAGGAGTGTCTGAGTATATACAACAGTCAGTTAAGTGCTGCCGAACTAACGGACGAGGAAGTAATATTACTCATCGAAAATAAACATCTGCCCGCATACCAAATCGAAAAGGCGGTCGACAATCCCGAACGTGGTGTAAGCATTCGACGGAAATTGGTCGGCCTGTCTGGGAATTTTATCGATGCGTTAGCTAATTTGCCATACAAAAACTACGATTATGGCAATGTATGGATCGTGTTTATTATTTGCGACATGTGCTAAACGATTTTTTGAAGGTTCTTGGGGCATGCTGTGAAAATGTGATCGGTTACATGCCCGTTCCCGTCGGCATTATTGGTCCGCTGTTGCTCGATGGACAACTGATTCATGTGCCAATGGCAACAACTGAAGGTTGTTTAGTGGCAAGCACGAATCGAGGCAGCCGAGCTTTGTTGAGGACCGGCGTTACGAGTCGTGTCGTCGCCGATGGTATGACTAGAGGCCCTGTTCTCCGATTTCCATCAATTGTTGATGCAAGGTATGTAAATAGCGCTTGACGAGTATCCATGTTTGGAAACCAAAAATAAAAACGAGTTTCTTCAAAACTTAATTGTTCGCCATGGAAGCATTTTATTGCACCCAGTGTCTCTTCTTCATTATATTTACTTCTGCGTATGTGCGCAGGCCGCTTTTGACGTGTTTAATATAATCCATCCATTTGCGCTTCTCTTAAAATTTCAGTATAATCAGTTCACACAAAAAACCTACTTGAAGCTTTGGACAGGTTCAAGTATATAACCGATCAATTCACTTTTATTAACAAACGCTTTTGTTAAAATCAGATCGGTCCACAAATAAGAAATTTACCTATGCGCATGCGCACACGTAGCTTTTCACATGTTGAGTATAATCCCTCAATTTGTCTTTATTAAAAGGTGCTACATCTAACAGTCCAAAAAGTAATAGGTGATCTCCAATGAACTACTGTATCCGGCACGTCAGAAGGCGAACCATCACGAATCCCCACTATACATATTCTATTAATTGCAGCTATTAGTGTGACACGAAGCCAGTTTGCTCCTCCTGCTCGGTAGCCGCAATTGTGGTGTGTGCGTCACCACAAAGAGATTCTTCGTGGCCACCGCCACCGCGATCCTGAGCGACATTCTGCTACCACACCCTCCTTCTTCCTTCGCGAGGACCGCCCCAGTTCCAAAAGAATGTCTGTAACTGTGCACCCATGCGGCTAACCTTTTCTAATACCCTTTCCATGTGCATAATATAGTTGATGCTCCTACCTATCCTCACCCTGAGGACGTCCACATATCTTGCGAGGGGGACCTGTGTCCCGGCAACTTCGACCGGGATAGGGGACCAATAGCCCAGTTTGCCTTTTTGCCTCCACTAAGGCCAGCTCGCCGTCTGACTCATTACTTCTGCCGCCGTGTTGAGGCTGCTATCAGTTAGCACCACAATCAGGGCGTCTGCATACGTCAGAAAGTCCACCGCTCTGGAAACTTCCAGCCCTAGGAACCATCCTTGCGAAATGCATCCATTAATGTCGAAACGGTACACCAATCCTGACGGTAATTTTGCCTCTGCCATTCTATGAGTGAGGTAGTTGCGCACCAAACTTCTCATTTACTTGGGCACCCCCCTCCCGGTCGAGTCACCACCGCCACCTCCCTAGGTCTCCACATGCCTCCTCGACCATGGAGAGCATCCTTGGTCCCCTAACCTTTCTGGAAGCTGTATATATCGTCTGTCCGATAGCGCAAACATTTCCTCGAGCCTCCTGGTCATAATTCTCTAGGGGAGCTTCCCACTATAGGCCTAACAGATCTTGGGTCCTTCTTTGGTAACTACTAACACCCTCTTCCGCATGGCTTGGTAAATTCTCGTGGGCAGCACCGAGTTGAATGCTGGATTTAGCATCCTTGGAGCCACAAGCCATCCAGCCCAGGCGCTTTCTTTCTGGCGGTTTTCTTTGCCACCTCCCTTATCTCCTCGTCGCTAATCGGCTCGACTGGGTGCTCCTGCTCATCCCCCTTCGGAATATCGTCTTCTACCTTGGGAATAGATGCTGGATCTTCTCTTTGATTTTTTTTCCAGTGGCGACCACTCTCTCCACCCCTCTCCACACATCACAGATGCACTTCCCACGGTGTGTTGACGTATGCTGGTGCGGCCCGGCTTGCGATGGATTGTGGGAAGCCAGCTTTAACACGTTTTATGTTCCATTCAAGGTCATTATGACAATAAACTATACAGAGATACTTCATTATTCTTTGTTCTCTTTTCTTCATTATAAAATTATATCATAATATGATCATAATTATTAAATGTTTAGATTCATTAATACATTCAATGAATAATCATGGAAAAAACGTGGGTTTATCTACGATAAGTATTTAATGAGAAGGGGGAACTTTACACATGAACATCTAAAGGCTGCGTGGTACACATCTAAAATATACGCTAAATAATGCAAGAAGAATCAAGCTGTTGGAGGAGTCCTTAGCAATATTGCATTTTCCTTTTTTCCTTGTCGCATCACCAGTAGATATGTCTTGTGTAGACCTTCCAACCGCTTTTTGAGAGTACCCTCCTCCAACACTTCATTCTGCAGGAATTTGTACTAAAAGTTTTGGCATCACCAGTGGATGTGTCTCGTCCAGAGCTGTTCCACTTGCGCTTACGAGTACCCTCTTTGAAAACTTCATTTTTGAGATATTCATTTTGACTTGACCAATAGATATGTTTCGGCCAGACGATTCCTTTTACCTTTGTGAGTACTCTCCTTCGACACTCCGCCCTTGAGATATATAACGATCACGATAAGGGATCAAGGAGGAGGACTGTGGTCAGTAGAAATTAATTCCTTTCGTTGAGACCTTTCACTAGAGTACCATGAAGGGTAAAACCAGTTCTCCCCCCTTCAAACCTCTGTTTTGATAAGGAGTAATGAAGAGGTAGTTGGTATAAAACAGTTTCTTTCATTGAGACCTTTCATTAGAATACCGTGAATAGCATGAACGGCAGTTTTACCGTCTTTTTGTTTAGAACTGTGTGTGTACCACTGCGTAGAGCCTTTCCTAAAGGTGGGCGCGTTTCTTTCCCAATCCCTTTTGTGTAAGGATACTACTGGGAGTACCTCTAGGTTGTACTTTATCAGCATTATTTCCGATCTTTTTTAAAAAATCTTCAAGAATTGCTAGGTGTCCTACTAGGTGGTCATGGCTCCTTTCATGCCATAACAGGGTAGCCTTTGTATATTCTTCAGCTGTTTTTGTGCAGGTGTTTTGGCCACCATATGACTGCAGCATATGTGACCATGGGTTTGATGATAGTTTCATACGACCATTTGATCGTTTTAGGCGTTAAGCCTCAGTTCCTGCTCAGTAGCCTTCTTCAGGCCTACATTCCCAGTTATTTGAACTCTTTACTAAGATCGATGGCGGTGCCCCCCATAATAGGTTCCTTCTGGTAAAAGGCACCACCACCGTTTTTAACGGATTACCCTGTTATCTGTACACCACTTCAGTGCGATGTTCAGAGCCTTTTGCATTTGCTCAGATACCACTGTATCGTGTTATCAGATCTATTGTTGTGAAAGTGAGACCTTTGTTTTTAGCGACCGCTTCGATGCGATGTGTCATCGAAAGCGCCCTCTATATCCGTAAACGTGGTTAAAGCCACTTCTTTTGACAGGAGCACTTTTTCAAGTGTGTATGTTACACTATGTAGGGCCGTGATTGTCTATCTTCCTTTTGATAGGCGTGTTATTGGGGGTGAAGCGGACGTTTTGTTAGAACCTCGCTTCTCAGAAATTGGTCTAAGACTTTTTCCATTCTTTTCAACGGGAACAAGCTGAAGCCGATGGGTCTATACGCCATGGGCAGGTCAATTGAACGTCCCCCTTTTGGTGTGAACAGCACATTCACCTCCTGCCACGTTCTGGGTATGTAAGCCAAACACACAGTTTTCTAGTATGTGCCCAACAACCTTTTGGAAGAGTGCTGATAAGGTTCCCCCTCCACCAGGCGCCTTAAAGGGTTTGAAGGCTATTAGAGCCAATTCTACCCTCTCCTGTGTGAAGATTTTTGAGGCTTCGCTTTTAACTCTGGAGTGAGACCGTACCTGCCCTTCTGCCTCTATCTGTTGAAGAAAAGTTACTTTTTGTGAGCCGAGAAATTGATGTCCATTAATCTAGCAGAACACAATCAAACATACTGCATAATTAGATGCTAATTATGTGCCCTATCCCCAAATTAAATGCTCCTTTTTTTTTAATTATTACATGTTCTGCCAGGTTCATATGAACTCAGCACAAAACCCAAAGAACCCAAGAAAACCCAAAACGCAAGAAAATGAAAAGTGAACTAACTATAATTAGGTGCTAATTAAGTGTCCTATTCCCGAATTAAATGCCTCTTTTTTTTTTAAATTATTATGTGTTCTGTCAGGTTCATATGAACTCTGCAGAGCACTACCTCAAAAAACCAAGAAAATGAAAAGTAAACTAACTATAATTAGGTGCTAATTAAGTGCCCTATCCCCGAATTAAATGCTCCTTTTTTTTTTAATTATCACATGTTCTGCCAGGTTCATATGAATTCAGCAGAGCACTCCCTTAAAACCCAAGAAAATGAAGTGAACTAACTATAATTAGGTGCTAATTAAGTGTCCTAGTCCTGAATTAAATGCTTCTTTTTATTTAAATTAAGAACCTGGCAGAACATGTAGTAATTTAAAAAAAAAGGAGCATTTAATTCGGAAATAGGGCACTTAATTAACACCTAATTATGCAATATGTTTGATTGTGTTCTGCTGACCTTGCCCTGCTAGGTTCATGGACATGAGAAGTTGAGTGCTTGTGAGGAGCTCTAATGTTTCTCTGGAGCTCACTGTATTTCCCATCGAGTTTCTTAAGATTCCCAATGCCATTGGAGTGGTCTTTTTGTTCTTATCATGGAATTGTACTCGACTAACGCGCTTCTGTACTCTTCCCATGTTTCTTCGCGCCTTTGTCGTTTGGCTTTGTCCAATAGTCTTCTGATGTTTTTCCAGTTCCTCACTCCTTTTAGTTTTTGTGGGATTGTGTGTAACAGAAGGGGGAAAGGGGCTGAAATTCTCCTAGTTATATCTTCATAGTACCCTGTCCAAAAAAGGACCACCTTTTCATGATCTCCCTAAAGTAAGTGCACAAAAAATGTATTAACTTTTGGTTATGTTGCAGCAACGCCATGGCTTGGCTGGAGAAACCCGAAAATTTCGCATTGGTCAAAGCGAGTTTCGACGGCAGTAGCCGATTCGCTAGACTCTCCAGGTTACATATACGTATCGCAGGACGTTACCTGTTCGTTAGATTCGTCGCGAAAACCGGCGACGCGATGGGAATGAATATGATTTCGAAAGGGACGGAGGTCGCTTTGAAAATGGTACAGAAACATTATCCGGATATGGAAATTTTGAGCCTTAGCGGGAATTTCTGTACGGACAAGAAGCCGGCCGCTGTGAATTGGTACGTTTATTGTTTTCGAAGGGGGCAGGAAATTAATTCGGTTTTTAGGATTGAGGGTCGAGGAAAATCGGTGGTGTGCGAGGCGGTTGTCCCGGCAAGGATCGTTAAGACAATGTTGAAGACGTCCGTTCATTCATTGGTTGACGTTAATATCTCCAAGAATATGATTGGATCGGCGATCGCTGGAAGCTTGGGAGGATTTAATGCTCACGCTGCCAACATTGTGACTGCCATATTTATTGCTACAGGTCAAGATCCCGCACAAAACATTGCCAGCAGTAATTGTATCACTTTGATGGAACCTTGGGGAGAGAGCGGAGAAGATTTATACATATCTTGCACGATGCCTTCTATTGAGATTGGAACAGTGGGTGGTGGTACTATATTACCCGCGCAAGCGGCCTGCTTAGACATTCTGGGTGTAAAAGGTGCGCATCCAGTAACTCCGGGCGAAAATGCAAAGCAGTTAGCTAGAATCGTGTGTGGCGCAGTTTTAGCTGGCGAGTTATCACTTATGGCTGCACTGACAGCCGGACACATTGTTAAAAGTCATTTAAAATACAACCGGTCTTCCGTTCTTCTTAATCGGGAACAATCAGTGTGCTCTAATGTACCTTAACGTGATACTTTTCTTGTTTTAATGATTTTATAAATCTTCATTTTGCATTCATCATGTTTTTATGAGGAGAATAAATTTGCAAAACTAAATGGCAAAATTGCGGGCATCTTGCTATTATCTTTGACAGCGTTGAACACCGTCCACTTTAATGTCAGAGTAAGAGACAATGAAAGCAGATCTTATGGTCTAGATTGCACAGAAAGAGAAACCAGTGATTAGTTAGCTTTTTATGATTTTATTTATTGCCGAAGATGAGAATCTACATACAGTTAAACCAAATACTTGGTACCTACATTATGTTATAGCTTTCTGTTACAATAACGCCGCCAAGTTAAGTATCGATTAGTCAAGGGATGTAAGCTCAATTGAGAAACAAGATACTTATATTACTGTGATACTAGTCTCGAATGTATTTAAAAAGATGTCTGACTCCTTCAAATGATGCTTGTAAATTTATCAGTTGTTGCAGATTTCGTTACATTTGTAAAAACTTTATTCCTGTAACAGAAAAATCCCTTGTGGTGGTTACTGGTCTATTATCTAGTCATAAAAATAATAATAATCAGTTAATTTTTATGCGTAGTTTTAATTGGCAAATATTTTAGCCAATATTATTTTAGTTTATAAAAAAACGAGATCTTTCACGAAACTTTGTTGAATTATTTGGTGCACACATCGAATAGTTAATTTTAGTTAACAGATTGAAATCTACGGACAAAGGTACCTAAAGTCATATTGAAGAAAGTAAAGCTCAGATTTCAGATGACTTCTATTTATTTATCATCGTCAGTTATGACTTTAGCGCTAATTTTTGATCCTACAAACGATTGTAGATAGGCATAGGTATGCGATTTAATTGTAAGCAGTTTATAGATGTTATTATATTGAATATTTTGCAAAAAATTAAATTTTTATACAATGTGTGATACACGTTTTATGAACTTCCTCTCCTTATAGCTACGACACATAATGCCGGGACTGTTCTCGAATTTCAAGTTTATGCTGGGAATTACCACGTGAGGGCCCATATTGTTACCTGTTCCAGGGGTGGAATTCTGCTAACAAAAAAATTTCCACATGTTCCGTGCCTAGGGCTATCCACCTTTTTTTTTGATTTATTAATCAAAGCTCAAGATTGTTGATTATTTGCGCTTGGTTTTGTTTTAATTACTTTATACCAGTATTTTGCCAAGACCTGTTTCTTTGTTTTGTTGCGATGTTAATTAACATAATGTAACGTGATTTATAAATCCGGGTTCGATTTATATCAATATTTATTAAACAAAACTAAAACACTATAAAAACCGTACAATTTATATCGATTATTTATATCACACACTTCGCAATTTATATTTCCGCGCTCGATCTCGTTCGGTAGTAAAACTGCCGCGATGTTCGGTCCGCAACCATTTATACACGCAAGCAATGTAACTCCAGGAACATTCGCGTACACTCTCGAATATTCCTACACAAATCCACTATCGCGCGCGTAGAAAATTCCAGAGCGCCAAACGTGACGTCATGTCTGGAGCGTTTCCGTTACAATAAGGCTCCTTGCACTATAATTTTATCTCTCATTGTATTCTAATTAAAGCTATCAATGAAAGGCACCGTTTTCTACCAACTACTCCCCTTGTTCCTGTCCTCTTATCAAAGTAAGGGAGGGGGGGGAGAGTGGAACTAGTTTTATCCTTCATGGTACTCTAATGAAAGGAAGTAATTTCTACCAACCATAGCCCTCTTATCGTGATCGGGTATATTCTCTTATACCTCCAGAACAGATTGTCGGAATAAGGTAGGTACTCACAAAGGGCGATTGAGACGTCTGCAAGAAGTATATCCATTGGTGATCTCAAAACAAAAGCTATTTCGGTTAAAAAATGCGCTTTATCTGCATAAGAGTTGTGCACAATTTATATTTGTTTTTACCTATTTATATTTTTATAACTAAATTCAATTATGATTTTTGTTATCAGCTTGTGCGATGGGTCGGGGGTTTTGTTTATTTTATATGGGGGCGTAATAATTTATTCTTCAAATCACTCCCCCCCCCCCCCCCCATCTTTGAGAACAAATTATGCTAATATTTTATAGTTTATTATGGCTATACAAGAGAATGGTATTTTGCCACTATCTTATTGTGCATAACTGCCAAATGTGATTATTTTTCATGACTTTCGAATATTTGTTATGTGATGGATCACAATAAAACCCTGCTATGTATATGTTATGCCAATATATGATACCCCTATACATATTTTTATGAGATAGATCATGTCCTAGCCAAAGGCGGCCGCCTGAGCTCAAATCACATTATTCTTCGCCCGTGAGACCCCTAGTGTTAATGTCAAGCTCCGTTACATAAGAGAATTTATAACCAGTGGTGTTCCCATAGGATATACTCCATATACGCCGTATACTCTCAAGGATAGACATATAGCGTATACTCTCAATCAAGGCGCCACTGGACATGATAATTATACATCAAGCGAAGAAGGTCGTATGTTATCCGCAAACATGTTTTTTTTACCAATTTAGATTTTTATAAATTTGTCAAGAGATTACTCCCCCCCCCCCCCTCGCGTTTTAAAGGAAACATCCACTCAAGTGAGTACACTCTCAAAGAAATCGATGGGAACATCACTGTTTATAACTACTTACATTCATTTCCGTGGTGGCAGTTGCTAACCATAATATAAATATCAATGCAAGATCACGATTATGAGAGAAATGAAATTCCCCAATGTTGTCGTACAGGTTGAAAACTATTATAATGTAATTGTAAAATGCAAATTGAAGAAGAATTAAGTGATTACATTTGCTGGAAAGTTTTCCGTAACTCTTTTTCCTACCCTAGACATTGCTCACTCCGTTGTCAGGGACAGGATTAGAGACTGGGTGACCAGTCAATGCCAGGCTCAGTGGCAACAAGCAAGCAGACTCAGACAGTCCAGGACCCCTTGGCAAATCTGGGTCTTCTATAACTGAATAGAAGCCAGATTAGGAAGATCACCTGCGTCCTTATGGGGCACTGGATGGTCAACTATCACCTGCACAACATATAATTTGGCTTGTATGAAGAGCTCACGTACGTGCAGGGTCTGTGGCGAGGTAGATGAAACTACTGAGCATGTGGTCGCCTTGATCAGAGACAGACATCTGCTCTTTTGGCGACAGTTATCTGGAGCCGGGGAAGGTGAAGCAACTTAGGCTAAACTTCAGGGTCCTATCTTTTATTGAGGGGAACGTGCACTAAACCTAGTTGCGGAAGAAATGGGGTAGGCACAATGGGCCTTTGGTGTGCCTAAATGCTGCTTGGTGAGGGCTCCCCTTATGAATAGAATAGAACAGAAAGGTAGAATTTTGATTGATGCAGGGTTGCCACACTAATATCTATCAACCTTTAAGATTAATACTAAACAAATGTTATCTGAAACTCAGCGCAGGGCAAAGCACATATAGCCAGTGGCGAGTGATACTAAAGGGCACAGGAACACGTGCCCACGTAATCGCCAAGATAAACGGCGGAAATAAATTAACATGTCAGTCAGTGAGTTATTTTTATTTGACTATTTCCATTTTATAACGGATTATAAGCAGATTAGACGTTTTAAAACTTTCTTTCAGGGCACAGTTTGTCTGTGCGTCAAATACGGTTATAATTTGATTCATTTGCTTGAGTTCGGTTATTTCCGTATAAGTACGTGATTTTTTTTTACTTTTGCCTACCCTCTTGTAAAGCTCACGAGTCGCCATTGGTACACGCCTCTATATCTTTATCATACGTAAAATATGGTCTAATGGTCATCAGAATCAATTTTAAGAGCAAGAGAGAAAAACAAAAAAATGCTTTTCGTTTTAATTCTACATGAGAGTGCAAATTTGATATTTTTCTACGGCGATTCAAATGCTAAATCATGAGAATTTTTCATTGCAGACACAAATTATGTCCAATTATCATGTTATCAGAGAAAACACAAAAGCGGGAAAGGCTAATTTTTAGGTTCAAATAAACATGACCACGTGATCACGTCTATTGCGCAGTTGCGCTGCGTCTGCACTCTCTCATGGGATGGAGAGGAGAGTGTCTTTTGTAATTAAAAAAAAACGATACAGTCTCAAGCTATCAACACTGTTTCTGGTTTATTGAAAATTTTGCATTATGATATTTTGTTATTATCGTTATCATTAAATATGTAGGATTTTTTTACACTTTCAATGATGATGGTATAGGTGATATAGAACACCCTGTACATTTTAGAGTGTGAAGTTAGCAATGTATGGAAAGGACGAAAAATAGACGTTGGAAAATAAGTAGTGGATTTATTTAAAATCGACGGTCATCCTACAATGGCAATGTTAAAGTTAAAAGGGTGTAAAGCGTCCCTAATTATATGTGTCGACACCAGAGACACTTCCCGCTGATTGCTAATGGCCACTGGAGATGTCGCCGACTGTGCGCGAAGCAATCTGTCAAAATTAAAAAGTATTATCAAAATGTAAACGTTTTATATTTTCTATAAAAAATGTACTTATTTGAATTGTACAATTTAGAAAGAATATTCGCACGTTGCCGATTTATACAAAATGTATATTAGAATTCGAAGCTAAATGATCAAACGTAAATATGCCTATGTTTGGTTCAAAAGGTGACAGTAACATAGTTTATAAGTGCACTGTAAGATTATTAGAAGATACAGAAATATTGGAATGTGAATATAAGGTGAGATTAATACACGTTAAATCTATCATTATATTCCACATAAATCCCGCTAGCCAAATCACAAAGGAAAATATTTATTGGAGTATGTGTGCCAACAACTGAATCTTGTGGAACAAGATTACTTTGGATTGCGTTATGTCGATGTCTCACAGCAAAGGGTAATACATTCAAATACTAAACCGTCAATCTGTCAACGGTACAATTTTAGCATTGGTTAGATTTAGGAAAGTCTATTATAAAACAAGTTAAAGATTTGGATCCAGTACTCTTTAGTTTTCGTATAAAATTCTATCCGCCTGATCCTTTTCGTCTTAAGGAAGAAATAACACGTTATCAAATCTATTTGCAGTTGAAAAGGGATTTACTGCATGGTAGGCTTTATTGTGCACCAAGTGAAGCGGCCATGCTAGCGGGATACATAATACAAGGTATTAATTATTCACGCCTACCTTAGCGCTTAATTTTTTCTGTGTTACAGGCGAAATTGGAGATTATATTCCTGAAATGCATACCGGTCACTATGTGAGTTGCTACAAAATCTTGTTGAAGCAAACTGAAGCTATAGAAGAAAAAATTATGGAGATTCACCAGAGAACCTTAAAAGGGCAAACACCGTCGCAGGTTGAAAATGGATTTCTTAAGCTCGCATGCCAATTAGACACTTACGGTGTCGATCCACATCCTGTTAAAGTAAGAATCGTCGTTGAAAGACCGAAATTCATTTCGTCTTTTAAGGATCATAAGGGAGCTCAATTATATCTAGGAATAAATTACAGCGGCATTTTAACCGTTCAAGGTAGTCGAAAGACGCACCATTTTCGATGGCTGGACGTACAAAAGATTAATTACGAGGGTAAAATGTTTATAGTTCATCTTAATTATAATGAGGTACGAGAGAATATTTTAGCCAATGACAGTTTGTCTGACGCCCTATTCTTTTAGAAGAAACATACGATCGGATTTAAGTGTCCTTCTGGAGCAGCGTGCAAGTACGTGTGGAGATGTGCCATGGAGCAGATGTTATTTTTTACGTAAGTTGCGTGTTTTGGCGTTTAGGCGTAAATAGTTTGTGGAAGTCTTTCATTGTTTTTGTTATTGGTGCTGTGTATGATGACACCTAAGAGGGGGGGGGGGCAGTGTCTCAAAGGTTTTGGTGGACTCACTGCAGGTGATGGGTAATTTTTTTATGCTCCTTTTAATGGAGGCGTATGCCTATCAGTGTCTGCATGTAGTTAGCAGTACACGAACGAGACAAACGGGGAACTAGGAAAAACCTCCGCTTTCACAAGGTTACGCGACCAACAAGTATACGCAGTAGTTCTTCTCAGGAAAGTTCTTCATTACTCAGGTATCATTTTAAGATCCACACCATGGAATTTTCTGCATTTTTGTGAATGTTTTAGATTTTGGTGAAGGTTTTGAACCTTTGTTCTTACTTTCTAATTTTTGAATGAGTTTTCTTTATTTTGTTTTAATTCTTACAGTTTTTTTTTTGAAGGTGCAGTAAGTATTTGTTATGGCCACAGATATACGCTAACCATAATGCATAAATTGCTTAACACTTTATCTACTTATTTTAAGGTTTGGATTTAGAGAATATGGGCAACTGGTGACGCACATGTAATTCAATGGGGCGTGCATTGCCTCTGAACTTCATTCACCATTTCATAAGCAAGGGGTTTATATGATCGGAAAAATATGTATTAGGTAGATAGATGTACAGAGCATAGTTTCCATACAATATAAACTGATATTTTGTCCATTAATATATGTTTATAAAATCTAGAAAACATGCGTCAAAAGAGTTCATACTTTAGGCATTAATTGCAAAAATTAGGGAGCATTTTAAGCAATACGAGTGTATGGGATCGGTAGCGTGAATACTTATCTATATTTTGGCAATTTATGTGAAGCTCAAAAATTTTCATAAAAAAAGTGGTGAATGAAGTTCTGAAAAATGGGCATGTGAACTGGAGAAATGGAAATAAACTACGCAGCTGTGACTAATATCGCGGTCAACAGTGTAGCTTCTTTCTCACAGAGGGTGCCACCAAGAGTTTTATGAAGTCAGTAAAAAATACGATAAAGACATATGAAATAAGCGCTTTTAACTTACGATGGAGTTGTTCTTACTTTTTAACTAGGCTAGTACTGTGTAATGGGGATAATAAAAGACAAAAAATTTACGAGCAAAAAAAAAATAGCAGGCTATGTAAGTTGCCTATGTTAAATCATTTAGCGATTCTCTTTCAAGGTTCAACAGAGCGTGTAATAGTAGAATTTGCTGACAGCAAAAAAAAGATCTTTCACTGGTATATTTTTATATTGTCAACTCCTTGCTTGATATTTATTTGGTTTCCCTTTACTATTCATTGCAAACGGTGTACACTCTACCTACCGTTGTATGAAATAAGTAATAGAAATGAGGATAGGTAACATTCCTTTACAACAAATATCAAAATTTTACGTAATTTTTAGAACAAAGGGTTGTATATTGTTGTTGATGTCTGGCAAGCGGCGACCTTGTGTGGGTGTTTATTTGTAATGCGATTTGTTTGACCGTCTTCCTTATTCTTTATCTTTGCTTATTGCAGATTAAAATACCATAAATTTATAATCCATACCTTGTTGCAAATTAAAATTTTTGAACTTCAATAGTATCATTGAATAAAGCTCTTTATTCAATTATAGTACCTATTATCACAGATTTGTCTGTGCTATTATATATTAGATCTGTGGTACTTTCGGAGAAAAACGAAATTTTGCAAAATCGTTTTTATTTTTTACTGAAGTTATTAAAAAAGATATTTCAAAATAAAGCACACATTATTATGACCACTTTTTTCCCTCTACAAGATGCTACTTTTAAATTTTAAGTTTGACGTTTCGTCTCCAGGCAACCATTTTTGTTTTTTCTTATGGAAGCAATTTTGAATATTTGTGTCATTTGATAAAGATTTTTTTTCTGATTTCAAAAATATAAAACATCTATTTTTAATAAGAAATAACGCTATTAATTCGTAAAAACGCAAGAAACTACTTACGTACGTTACTTAAGACAAAGTTTTCTAGGCAAAAAAAGATATTTTACAAACATTAAAAAAATGGATGTGTACATTTTTGAAATCAAAAAAAAATTCTCTATGAAATGACACAAAAAGTAAAAATTACTTCCATAAGAAAAAACAAAGTTGATGATAGTTAACCGGAGACGAAATGTCGGGTTTAAAATTTTAAACTAGCATCTTGTAGAGGGAAAAAAGTGGCCATAATAATGTGTCATTTATTATTAAATATCTTTGTAAATACCTTCAGTAAAAACAAAAACGATTTTCAAAATTTCGTTTTTTTCCGGATATCTCCGAAAGCAGTCAGAATTTTCACTTTCAAAACTGCATTTTGTTAAGCATCAAAATACACAACTTTGCCAAATTTAAACTACCTACCTATTCTATCTCTTACAGTTCCCGAGATCGGAGATACCCATGGTGGCCCTCGAATTTGAATCATCCTGTACATTACTAATTTACAAAAGACCATCCCTCGAATTTAAGGCATGGGGAAGAGAGATACAAATGTATATTTAGGTATAAACGGCTAAAAAATTTTAAAAAAATCAGTATACCGTAGGTCCCCGGATTGACTTTACAACAAGAAAAACTTACTATACTTTTTGGAGTTGTTTTTATTAACATTTGTTCTGTTAAAATTTGAGCAAGATCGGTCTACAAATCAGAAATTTACCTCTGCGCAATCGCACGTGCGCAGTTTATAATAATCGATTGATTTGCTTTTATTAAAAGATGCTACTGTTAAAAGGTCAGTAAAATTGGCCCAAAAGTAGGAAATTTACCTATGCGCATTCGCGCTTGCGCAGCTTTACACAAGTTTAATATAATGTCTGCATTTAAAGGTGCTACTGTTAATCCATAAAGGGTACGGCCTACCGGTCTAAAAATTAATAGGTGCCGTCTTCACACGACAAGTAATACGCCTGCAAAAATCCCATTAAATTTTGAGTTATGCTAACAAGTCAACTTAGCCACTTAGTTCTACTTTAGCATCATTTTGGATCAAAGAAACCCAAAATTTGATTGCGGGAACGGTTACATACATTGATAAAGAAACATAAAATTGGCTCTGTTAGAAACCCTTTGGGTCATTATTTATTATGTGCACTTTTCCAAAAAAAAGTTCTTATTTAAGAGCGATTTTTTCTGCAATTTTAAGGCGAATCCCAGGTAAGGCATGGCTGTTTGTGATTGTATAGTGGGTTGAGTGGGAAGAATAGCAAATTGCTAACACTCCGCCCACTATAAAATAAAGGCAATAAAAAAAAAAGAAAGTGCTTCCTAAAAAATAAATTAAACGCTTCTTATAAAATCAAATTGAAAAACATGTCAAAAAAATACGCAGTGCTTACCATCTTATTTGTAACCGGGAGCTTTTTATAGATGGAAAATGAATGTACTTGCCAAAAAATTGATTTTGACAGTTATTCAATTTGCAAGAAGTCAGAATAAGTACTTTTTTTATCATAACAGACAAACTAGAGTTGAGTGTCCACTTTTTGCCCCCTGAGCAAAAACTGAATCATCCGCAGGTTTATCAGCATTATTTACAACTCTGAATGTAATTCACAAGGCAAGATTTTATTCTTGGATTGAAAGCGAATATGACATGTACTTTCCAGGAAGTATGATATGCTAACTATAGAATTCTCTAGAAGTTTTTGATTTGCTATGTAAGCAAATTGAATTGTGTTTAATAGAAGTTCCAATATCAATGCCGAAGTGATAAATAGTGAAATTCGCGTGTTTACATGTTATCAATTTGAGTACAAGTAAGTGATAAATAACAATAATCGTTATAAATCAATCTGTTTATTGACAATGTTTACACACTGACTTTTTTTACCATATGTAAAATGGCCATTTTATCGTTAATAATAACCACTAACCACTATAGCTATGGTAACCACTAATGTTAAAAAACACTTTAAAACCAAATTTTAAGAGCAACTGCGCTGCACTGTTGCCTATTCGCTGGGAAAAATGTGTTTCGATAGCAGGAAAATATGTATATATTATAATATGTGGAAGAATAATAATCCTCATCACTTTTCCAACTACCATTTATTTCAACCTTGCAAAATACATAGTCAACAAAAATGCATCAAATTCATGTCTTGAGCATTGAAATAATACTGTTGGTTTTTTACCCAATGATCTCGGTGCAAGAATAACAACTTTGGCATGTTTTGAGCAAAATTCATGTGGTCACCCAAAAATACATCAGATTCATATCTTGGGCATCGAAATAATGCTTTTAGTCTATTTCCCAGCGATTTTGGTGCATGAATTTTGACATGTTTTGACCAAAATACATGTGGTCACTAAAAATGAATCAACCTCATGTCTTGGGCATTAAGATAATGCTCTAGGTCTTTTTCACAACGACCTCAGTGCAAGAATGACATGTTGACATGTTTTGATATTCGAGACTGTGGTTATATGCACAGAGATAAAATACCACTAGTGTATTGGCGTTAAATGTTGCCTAATTTATGTATTACTAGATTTTGATGCGAGCAAGATGCACAGATTAATTTTCTTGACAATTTTTAACGTAAGCCGTTAAACACTAGTTCACAAGGTGTAAAAGTATTACTGTGTACATAATTCTTCGACACGAAAAGAAAAATCTGACATGAAAACTATTCGGGTCGTAAAATGGATTCGAATAAACACACAATTAATGGATTGACAATGACAAAAATTTATTCCGAAGCACATGAAAAAAAAATTAAAATAAAATCCCTGAAAGAAAGAAAAGTTTTCAAAGTCTGTTTGGACATATTACCCCGCACGCAGGCGGTCGACAAATAAAATAATAAATCTTAAATTACTTGCTGTTTTTTTTATAATCCGTTGTACAAGGTGTGCGATATTCAGGTACACGCTCTTAACCATCGCGCAACTAGCAGCAATAGCAGTACTCGAACGTACACAAATCTGAATTTTAGGAGTTCTCGCCACTTAATATGTTTTTACCCGAAATTACACCGCTAATACTTTACTACTATCCATATAAAGTTCACTCAATAAAATGCATGTTCCAGTTCTTGAAAATGCACCACGCAATCTTCCCCGGAATAAAATCTATCGTACACAAAATGACACGCCTGCTTCTATAACTTTACTCAAATTTAATTTCAACGCACTACAAACGGTGCATTATGGTCGCGAATAACAATTTATAGTAAATCTTCACGCACAAAATCTCTCTCCCATCTCCTTCGTTATTTGAATCTCGCCCGGTAGAAATACTAAAACGGACCCTATTTTCTGAACGAAACAATCGCGACTCGCGTACGCCATTAAACCAGTTTCTATCACGTTCTCGGATTTTCGCACAACGTAACGAAGCTTTTAGGTCTGAAGAGATCGGGGCAACCGCTCTCGCTTGCCGCAATACGTTTCTTGCTATGGCTCATTATCGCCAGACATATCTTTGTTCAAGTTCACTATGAAGCGGTGCATGTGTAAATAGGAAAAATTACTTTTTTAATTCTAATGCGACCGCTCGTTATAAATGGTACCAACTATAAATGTCAATCTTAATTGTAAATGAACAATAAAAGTATATTTCATGCTCGAAGGCTCGAATCAGAGACATTCTGGCAGGCGATGTGACTGAATTGTTATATTTGAATAATAGAAATGGATGTATTTTGCACTTTGTTTTAGATTACCAAGTAGTTCAGACGCTCCCTCAGTGGTTTCGGGAGGAGGATTATTCTCGTGGGGTTCTAAGTTTAAGTACACGGGTCGGACGGAACGGGAAATTTTGGAAGATAATAGATCTCCTAGCAGGGAGCAACCTACAATTCAACGCACATCTAGTTTAAGACGAAAAGCTTCTAGTGTTCCTGCAACACCGTCAACACCATTGCAGCCACACTTAGGTAATGAATTAGGCAATTTTATCTCGGTAACGAGTAAATCTGAATTTGTTTGAGTAGGTTATAGCAGTTTACCTCGTTCGAGCCACTCCGATGTCGGTGGTTCGCGAATGGAGCCGTCGACTAGTACGGGACTCCTTTCGGGACTAGAGGGACCATCTTCTCAAAGTTTCGTTGACTCTGGTTTGGAGACCGTAACAGAGGATCAAGAAAATTTAGGTGGTTTAAGACGTCGTGCTCCAGGTTTGAGCTCAATTAACACGATATTGTAATTCAATAGAGCGAATTTTTAGTTAACGAAGATTCGGTCGACCGATTTAGTGATTATTATTTTCGGGATTCGTTCGAACACTCGTCGTCCGAATCTCAACTTGTTGAAAATAATTCGCGAATGATCGAGACCAATCCATCGCATCGTTCGAGCCGTAGTCAAACACCTTTGTTACATTATCACCTTGATGGTAGGATAAATTTGCCAAATGCACCTAATAAAAAATCTCGCAGAGTGTTCACTTCTCTTAAAACTTGTGGATTTGTTTTAATCATAATGTTAAGTATTGCCCTATTCGCAACTATGGTTTTCGAATCTAACTACGAAGTATTTATCCGCTGTAGAAGCAATCCCGAAGTAATATCGTTAAAGGTCACTTATTGGGATCCGATAAAACAGTACTTACGAAGAAAAGCGGACGGTATGATCTGTTGTGCCATTTTTTAAGTTTACATTTTTTTAAAGCCATTCTTAATTTATCGCCTAATTCAATGTACATAATTTTTTATAGGGAAAGAAGTTTCCAGAACTTGTTCAATAGGCAAGTAGTTGAACATAATTCGTTGTTTTTGTGATAATAAATTTAATACTACACCTGGCCAATACACTCGATTTCATGTGATGAGTTAGAGTTCTGTTGTATTAATGACGGTGTAACTAACTACAATTTTCATTTATGGGGGACACATATAGTGTTTCAGAGTTTACGAAGAAATTTATTTTACCAGAAAAGAGTGTGTGGAAGAAATGTATGAACAGTTTTATAATTATAAAGAAAAAGTGAACGTTTACTTATTGTTTGTAATGGATAATCTTCTTAAATCAGAAAATGAATTATTTTCCATTTTTCAGGAAATTTGAGAGGTATTCGAGTGCATCGGAAAAATATGGGACCGAGGTCAAAATTTCAGTTTTTTAAGAGCGCATCTGAGGGATGTAATTTTGACTTAATCGGAGGTTGTTATCTGTAACCCAGTCAACTAATTACGGTTAATTATACTTATCCAAATAGTCGGAATGAAATCTCCAAATTCTGTAGTCCAGCAATGCCCTCTTGTTCCTCGGAATGTGAATCATTTATTTATTTTGGTCTTTATTTTTGAGTGGGCGGGGCTGCTCTACCAACCCAACCCACTAAACATTTACAAATATCTATGCCCGAACCCGGATTCAAACCAGGTACCTTTAGTACCGCAGTCGAGCTTCATCTCAGCTGCGCCACACAGGCCGCGACTAATATCACGTTGATATTTCCCTTAAATGGCACGACCTTGCCGATTTCAGTCTTGGATTTTCGTATCCCATGAGAAAAAACCTTAATAAGATTGATTCTCTCTCTTCTTCCCTGCTGGCAAGAGAGCTTTCGGTGGCTGTAAAAACTACTTAAATATTCTTCCAGGAACGGTTGCAAAACGGATAAATTCACTACGAATCTTACGTGCGTTATCGGCGGTAAGACAAACAATTAAACAAAATGAAAACACACAAAGCTCCCTTCTTGTCTCCTACACCAAATAAGTAAATTCAGAAACGACAGATACCAGTTGTTCCTCAAGGATTGATTTTCTAAGATTTGAAACTACCGTTCTCTCCCCTATGGCTGAGAAACTTCGTGTCTATCTTCTCAAACGTGAATGAGCCCATTACTGAGTTAATTTTTGGCACCCACAATAGCGAATGTGTAATTTTCCATTGGTTAGTATCTTTCGCTACCAATCCTAGACATTTTCTAAAACCCACCCAATTCCAAAAACGTATATTCAGCATTTCCCAAGCTTATATCTCTTAAACCGGATGTAATTTGACCCAACAAGCAGATTTTGAGGCGCGACTGGCAGAAGCAGTTAAGCGAACAAAGAGCCCCTGACAACCACCGCGCAAAAATGACATATATTTCTTTGACTCCAATCATCCAGATAAATTCTTTACATTATCATGATCAAAATTTGTTTGGGAAGACTATTAGAATTGTGACATTTGTTACAGCTTTAGAAATCCTATTTTACGTATTTCTGCGGAAAATATACACAAAAATGTTGCTACTGTTACAATAAAAAAAACTGGCCCTCAGATAAATTGTTCCCCAGAAAGTTCCCTAAGGTATGTATTGCGTCACGGAATATCTCTTAAATTTGCTCCCCTCTTCTCCAAGTACATCCACAAAGATTTGCATTCGTCAAATTTAAACCCACAGGATTCCTTTGCAATCTTCACAGAAAAATCATACGCATGTAGCTCGGCCTGAAAAATTCCCTCTTGAAAACTCGTCTTCTCGCGAAATTTGTTCTAAAGAAAATTCATGTTAAAGAAAATTAAATCTCAAAGGAAATCCGCCCTAACCAAAAAAGGTCACTCGCCCTGAAAAATTTGTTCCCTAAAGGACAATGTGGAAGATCAGTATCGTAGCTTCAAGTCACTATTATTTGATTATGTACAATACGCTCTCAAACAAAACTCATGTTAAGGTTAAATCGCCTCAAAAAAACCATCCTAGAATGTTTTGGTCCAAAAAAACTTGACCTGAAAATTTTCCTCACGAAACCTGGCTCTCAGAGTATTCCCCTCTTCCCACGAAACTTGCTCCAAAGAAAATTCTTGCTCAGGAAAATTAAATCACCGGCCGATGTAGTGCAGTTCAGTTGAAGCAGAACTGTAATACTATGGGTCCCTGGTTCGAATCTGGGTTGGGGTATGGATATTTGTAAATGTATAGTGGGTTGGTTTGTACGAAATAAAAATTATTAGTAATAAAGATCAAAGAAAATTCATGTTAAGGACAGTTAGATCCCAAGGGAAATGAATGTTTTCCTCCAAAACAAAACTCGCTCTGCAAAATTCGCTCATGAAACTTATCCCCAAAGAAAATTCATGTTACTGATTTCTGAATTTCTTTCTATTTTATAATTTTAATATTTGAATATTTTTATCATTTTGTAAAGTATAATGTATGTGATATGTTAAATTGTTGACAAGAACGGGTTGATTATTAAAAACATTGGGAATGACTACATTTTGCTAATCATACCTAACAATTATCCAAGGTTTTGCGGGATGATGATTGACACAGGTAGAAATCGGTAACAATTTAGTCATTCAAAATGTGTTTTTAAAAATTCGATACAACTGAATATCGAACGATCCTCGAGATCTTCACACATACATCATTTTTACAATAATACACCTTAAGGGGTTGATTCTGTCCCAATAGATCAGCATAGCTTGTAAAACAAATTTTTTGAATCGGCATTAGTTTTACTTTTATTCAAGGTGCGTAAATGTGAAATTTCATTTAAATATCTTAACAAATAAACAATTTGAGATTGCGCATGCGTACAACAAATTTTTTTGAGTTAGCATTAGTTTTACTTTTATTTGAGGTGCCTGCATACATTTCATTTAAATATCTTAACAAATAAAAAAAACGACTGCGCATGCGCAAAACAAATTTTTCTATTCGGCATTGGTTCTACTTTTATTCGAGATGTCTACATACAACATTTCATTTAAATATCTGAACAAATAAGAAAAAACGGACTGCGCATGCGCAAAACAAATTTTTGGATTCGGCATTAGTTTTACTTTTATTTGAGGTGCCTGCATACATTTTATTTAAATATCTTAACAAATAAAAAAACCGACTGCGCATGCGCAAAACAAATTTTTGGATTCGACATTAGTTTTACTTTTATTTGAGGTGCCTGCATACAAAATTTCACATAAATATCTTAACAAATAAGAAAAAACCGAATGCGCATGCGCAAAACAAATTTTTGGATTCGGCATTAGTTTTACTTTTATTAGAGGTACCTATATACACATTTTCATTTAAATATCTTCACAAATAAGAAAAAAAACCGACTGCGCATGCGCAAAACAAATTTTTGGATTCGGCTTTAGTTTTACTTTTATTCCAGGTGCCTACATACAAAATTTCATTTAAGTATCTTAACAAATAAACGATTTGAGATTGCGCAAATACAAAAGTTGTAATGCGCATGGGTAATATTTTTTTGCATCTTCATAGTTGTCTGAAGTTTAAGGAATATTTACTAACACATTCATATGTTCTTTGTAACAAGAGTTATAAGAGAAACCCTTTTTGGTGGTTCGGGCTGTAACTTTTTGGCCCGTTGGTCTATGTAGCCAAAAAACAATACCGACCTTTCATATATCCTGAAGAACATGTGTATCAATTTTCAACGCGATCGGACGTTTCTACACAAAGTAATCGTGCACACGGACAGACAGCAATACAAAATTATAAACGATCTCGAGGATCGTTAATAATCAATCCCTTCTTCCTATTTTCTGACCACCCTGAGGAAATTTTGATGATATTACCACAATATTTGAGGTCGGACTTTTCCAGTTCAAATTTCTCCAGCCTCATTTGAATTCATTATCATTTGTGGTTTCTCCCACATACATAACCACCACCTAAGTAATAACATGCTTGAGATAATTGAAAAACCAAAGGCACATAGTCACATTATATCAACCTTGAAACTCAGTTAATTTGATTGTTAGGCAATTAAGATAAAACCTTCACCTTGTCATGGTTTTATACAGGGTGGTGACTTGCGTAACGCATCATAGGAATTTCAATGTAAAATTTGTAACAAGCGATTATTGGCTCCCCAAACTATTTTAGAGAAAAATTGTATTAAGGTTTTTTGTAGAAACAAATTTTTTACGTCAGTCAACCGTATTAGTTTTCAATTTTTTGCATAATCAAGACGGAAAATTGGAAAAATAAAACCCGCATCTTTTTCAATAATCTGCGATGCCATGGAATTTTCTAAAACAAATAGATGTCCAGTTATCAATTGGCAGCAGTTCGAAATGGATTTTATGATCGACTTGGTTACTGTATTGCAGTTAATGGTGACATATTCGAACATTTATTGTAAATTGTTATATTAGGAAACCGTTTTTAGTAATTTGGTCTGTCTTTATGTTGATAGAATTTGATTTGTTTTATAGCAGACATTCCATGGCATGACGGATATTGGCGTTCTTTTTGTATTATAAAATTCCATGGTATCACAGATTATTGCAAAAGATATTTTTCTATTTTTCCAATTTTCCGTCTTTATTATGCAAAAATTGAAAACTAATACGGTTGATTGACGTAAAAAAAAATTTCCTACAAAAAACCTTAATATATTTTTGCTCTAAAATAATTTGGGGAGCCAATAATCGCATGTTATGAATTTTACATTGAAATCGCTATGATCCGTTACGCAAGTCACCACCCTGTATAATTAAGCCATCAAGAAGTATAAATTGATGGTTCGGATTTCCATTAGAAACATAAGTAAATTGTGAGTAACTGTGAGTAGTGACCTGTATTTGCTTCCTTTAAGTGTATAATAAACGCAGATGTATATAAGCACATCAATATTGTTCAATTAAAATGACGTCCTTAAAGTAACCAACTAGCAATAGCGATTACGAATGTAACTTTTTCTCTCATGATGTGTTGAACGAAGTCAGAAGCATAACTCACCGTACGTGTTCATATAGGCATACAACGAAACCTGAATATTTGTGTTGAATAATATTGATATGTGTGTATATTGGTAGAGGAAGGTCGAAAAGTGTTTTGTTTTCGTTTTACAATCGTTTCATAAGCACAGAACTGTAGTATTATAACACTAGATAGGTGAAATAGAAGACTGCAGAAGTATTGTCAATATATATAAAGAAAAGTGTAATGCCAAAGATCTATATGTTCCCTTACTTTGCTTATAATAATTAAGGTTAAGATCATTTGTCTGGTGTAGTCATA